GCTTTCAAGGTTCAACTCAAGTCCCTCTTCTAGAAAGCTTCCCTTGGTCACTACAGGCATGCTGATCCTGTCCGCCCTCTGAAATGGTTTCCTTAGTTAGCAAGCCCACGGTGTAATGCCCAATTACTGAAATTCCAATCAGCTAGTCCACTCCTCTGGAGGATAGGGACCCTCCTCTCATAGGGACAGGGACCATGCTAGGACATGGCAGGAAAAAACAAAGGACTTGAGTTCCAAAGCCAGTTTTATTGTATATTAGCTTTATGAGCTTAGTCAAGGAATGGACTTCTCGGAGCCTCTTTTTGCTCATCAGTAATGCCTTCCCAGCAGAGCCGCAGGGGGATTAAGTGAGGTAACAGGTACAAATCTCTCAGAACCTACAGCTAGTAGGAGTACTCTTGACCATCAGACCCTCAAAAAACTTGCCTTAATTTTTAGGCCTCATTTCTTCCCTCCCTTTCTTTTTCATTGTTCTTCTAGATTCTCCACTGCATGAAGCTCAGTGCTTAATGTATTGTGGGTGCTCAATAAATACTTTCCTCCTTCAGTACGGATTTCTTTTATATCACTGAGGGCAAGGGTGATGTCCATTCGGCTCACCCTGATATCCCCAGTACCCAACCCTGTGCCTGGCACAGAGGAGGCCCTCAATAATGTTTGGTGAGTGAATGAACTGCATGCCTTTGGGGGTTCAGCAAAGAATGGGTATGCAGTGAAAGAGTTGAGAAAAGCATCAACCTCCAAGCCAAACAAAGGCATGGAGAGTGGTGGTTTCCCATGGGATGAATTTTCTGAGCTGTTGTGAAGAAAAGGGAACAGAGCCATTCAAATGCCACCATTTTCAGGAGGTGGATGGAAAGATAAAGAGAGCATTGATAGAGAGCAATGGGGTCTTTAGAAAGTGAGAAATCCCTAGGAGTCCGCAGAGTCCTGATGTGTAAGTGTGCTGGATACGCCTCGGATACACATTTTCTTTTCCAGCAGAACTGTATTTCACCTGCTGGCAAAGAGCAACAATTCACTTGTAGCACAGGAAGAAAGCTGCAGAAAATCAAAAGAAAGCAGCAGGCAGGAACCTATAAACGAGTCCCACTTTCCCATCCCCTAGACAGAAAGCCTGGGACGAGAGTACTTTAAATTCTGCTCTGCAGTTTTTCTGGGAAAAGACGATTCCGTTGTAAATTATTGAACATTTCATTTAAGCTTCATAAATAAGAAACTCAGATGAAAACGTTACATGTCAGATCCGTTCGGCAACATGTAATTTCTGTCTTACTCCCTCGATCTGTCACCCTTCATCTACGTCAGAGAATTTCTACTTCATTATAGGCAATTGAAGGTTTCAATCAGATGCCTAAGAAAAGTAGTTTATGTTCCAAAGGTAACCTAATTTCTGCCACCAAGGATGTACCTGGGACTCGCCGAACATATTGACGGAGATAGATGTGTGCTTCCAACGTTTCCGGGGGCGTCGCAATCACCCACTCAATCTAGCAGCAGGTACCCCTCCCAGCCAGGGGCCAGCTCCTCGCTGACAGCTGGACTTCCAGAATCGCTTGTTTCACCAGAGCTAACAGGCTAAGCCCCAGCAAACTGCCAACAGGTGTGCCCAGGACTAGCCTCTACCTACCTGGGACACACAAAAAAGGACTCAAGGTCCTGGAATAGTTCTCCGAGTGAGGTAATAATAAAACCGGCTACTATTGCCATGGGCCAGGCACCGTCCTGCACTTAATCGTCACGGCCACCGTTCGAGAGGAATACCACCGGGTTTCCCATTCTACAGAAACTGAAGCTCAAAGATACTAAGTATCAAAGTGACGCAGGTAGAAAGTGGCAGAGAATGAATGGTAACATAAGTTTGGCAGACCTCAAAGTCTGTCACTCTTCAAACTTTACCTCCACTGGTGTCGACACTTCAGAGGAAGAAAGAATGAAGGGTTAAGAAGTGGGCTGGAGCTGGTCTGAGAAAGGGAAAAGAGGGCTGGCTCTCATACACTCCTTCAAGGGAGCCTGGTTGGTAAGGCCTGGCAGGTACTGTCTTACTCAAGCATGGGGACATTTATTGCTTTGGGCTGGACTAAAGCTCTACTGACGAGGGGATGCACAGCCCTCTGGCTACCATGCAGCGTTCTCCTTCATTAAACCAAACCATTTGTTAAGGAAAGGTTGCTCAATGCATTTCCTGTCAAAGTCATTCCTATTACCTCAGGAAGCCGGGGAAGTCACAGCTGCTCAGGGGAAGGGACGACATTGGGGGAGGGGTGGGACATTCCAGTTCTCCTAAAAGTCCCGAATCCCTAAGGCCAGAAGTCTGAGTGTCCTCTCCAGCTGGCCATACACTTACTCTTTGCCTTAGTTTCTTTTCATAATTTGATGATGTACTGGTTTGAATGGTGTCCCCCCTCCCCACAACCCCACCCCCCACCCCCAATTCCACCCCCTGGAACCTGTGAATATGACCTTATTTGGAAATAGGGTCTTTACAGAGGGAACCAAATTAAAATGAGGTCATAACAGATTAGGGTGGGCCCTAAATCCAATGTGCAAAGTGCCTTCATAAGAAGGGGAGAAGACACAGACACACAGGGAGAATGCCACGTGCTACAGACTGAATGTTTTGCGTCCCCCCAAAAGTCATGTGTTGGAAACCTCGTTTCCAGTGTGATATTAGCAGATAGGGACTTTGGGAGGTGATTAGGTCATGAGCAAGTAGCCCTCATGAATGGGACTGGTGCCCTTGTAAAAGAGACCCCAGAGAGTTCTCTTGTTCCTTCCACTGAATGGAAACACAGCGAGGTGACGGCCATCTATGAACCAGGAAGTGAGGTCTCTCCCAATGTCAAATCTGTTGGTGCCTTGATCTTGGACTTCTCAGTCTCCAGAACTGTGAGAACTAAATGTGGTTTAAACCACCCAGCCCGTGGCAATTTGTGATAGCAACCCGAGCAGACTGAGACACTATGAGGCAGAGCCTGGAGCAGAATGCCCAACATGGGCAGCAACCACCTAAAGCTAGAAGAGGCAAGGAAAGATGTTCCCCTTAGCTCCCCCTTGGGAAGGAGCACTGCCCCCCCCCCCAGCACCTTGTTTTGGGCCCTCTAGACTCTAGAACTGTGGTAGATTACATTTCTGTTGTTGTAAGCCACCCCTTGTCATCATTTGTCATGGCGGCCACAAGAAACTAATGCAGATGGAGAAAAGACTCCCCATCCCACCATCCTCACAAGGTTGTGCTGAGGGTCAAAACACATCCAGGTATTTTGAAAAGAACAAATGTTATATAAATGTAGAATAACATGATCATCAGCCATGGCTCTTGTGGCCCCACACAGATTGCCCCCCCCCCCCACCAAAATGCCTACCAGAAGGACTCAGGCTCATCATGGGGGACCCCACAGGTGATAATTTGATCTTTTTGTATTTTTCTACAATCCCACTTCTAGTAAATGAGGGTGAGTTTGTGCTAGTTTGATGCTAGAATAATGGTCCCTAAAGATGTCTACATTCTAATCCCAGGAGCATGTGACTCTGTCAACCTACATGACAAAAAGGAAATTGTAGGTGTGATTAGGTTATCTCGGTGGGGCCAATATAAGAACAAGCGTTCTTATAAGAGAGATACAGGGAGATCAGAATCAGAGTAGAAGATGGGGCAAGGGACACAGAGGTCAGAAAGAAAAACAGATATGAAAATGCTATGCTGTTGGCTTTGAAGATGGATTAAGGAGCCACAAGCCAAGGGAGGCAGGAAGCCTCTAGAAGGTGGGAAAGGCAAAAAAACAATTTCTCCCCCAGAGCCTCCAGAGGCTGCAACCCTGCTGAAACATTTAGACTTCAGACCTGCTGATGCTGAACTATAAAATAATAGACTTGTGTTGGTTTGAGCCACGATATTGTGGTAATATATTACAGCGGCAATAGGATATTAATACACCAGTCAAGCCAGTTAGTCTGAAAATGAATATGGGAGAGAGTAGGGAGACAATTGCAGATAATTGCAGGTATCCTGGGAGGTGCCCAGTGATTCTTTGTATTAATCCCCCAAAGGATTTCCCCAGAAAAGTTTATATCTTTTAGTTGGACAGTTTTTGCGTTTTTTCCATCTTCCCAGAGTCCCCTGGAAGTCGAATCTAAAATTGAATCCATAACTTTAAATACCCTGGCATCTGAATTAACAACCTTGGTAGGGAGCCCACAGCAGCAAGGCTTCTGCCTGCCCCTATGTTAAAGGCCTGGTAGCCTATTCATCCAGTGTTGCTCCCTAGAAGGGATCCCAGAGTCCCCATATGGTTTCAATCCCTATCTATAAAAGGTGCAGATTGGTGCTCACAGCATTCGAGAAATGCTTTAGGGGCACCTGGGTGGCTCAGTCGGTTAAACATCCAACTTTGGCTCAGGTCATGATCTCACGGTTTGTGGGTTCGAGCCCTGCGTTGGGCTCGAGCCCTGAGTTGGGTTCTGTGCTGACAGCTCAGAGCTTGGAGCTTGCTTCAGATTTTATGTCTCCCTCTCTCTCTCTGCCCCTCCCCCCACCCCCATGCTCTGTCTCTCTCTCAAAAATAAATGAACATTAAAAAAAATTAAAAAAAAAAGAAATGCTTTAAAGGCCCATATCCATACAATCCCTCCTCCAATTCACAACTTATACAAGAACTCCCTTCACCAGCCATAACCAACTTGAGACTCTAAGGACCTTTGGAAGACCTTCCAAAGGAGAGCACATTTCTGAAGGTCACTAACAAGGGCAGCCTTGCTGCCTTCCCAACGAGACCAGCAGCAAGAAGGAAGCTGCATGGAGCACTTCATCCTGTTGACTTGGTATGGATTTCCTAAATGTTGAAATTGGGATTTCCTACTAGGTAAAATTAGAAGGAGATTCAGGAAGGACTAAACATAAGATCTGTACAGGAATCTAAGCTTATTTGCTTCCCTCCTCTCTGCCTTCCCCACCACTGACATACACACAGAATAATGTTTGTTTCTGCATCTACCGACAGATTTGGTGCCTGGCACGGAGTATGGAGTTGGAATATCAGCTGTCATGAATTCACAGCAAAGTGTACCAGCCACCATGAATGCCAGGACTGGTGAGTAGGACTGCTATAGAAGCAGACCAGGATGCTGTGCAAGCCTGAGAAGCCACGGAGGCTTGCGGCTTGCTTGTCCTGGCAAGGGCCGGTCAGAAGGCAATGCCCCCTGATGAACAGGTCCCTGGATGACAGTTATCAGCCTAGGAACAACATCTACCTGCAGATCGTTGATCTCTGTGCCTAACCTCTGCTATCAATATGCAGGATAGTCTCACTCACTTCCCCACAGATCTGTGCATGGTCTCCCATGGTCTGGTGGGCTGCCCCCAGAGGTGGAAAATTCGAAATCAGTTGGTGTCATAGCAAGTCTTTCTAATATAATACCTCAGAGCAGGCAGAATGTGATGTCCCTCACCATGGATGACAGAAGCCCTCAGAAAGGTCATAGGGATAAAGGTTTAGACTTGGAAACAACCTGTTAAATCTAAGGGCAATGGAAAATTCCACTTGAGACCCTTGCCACTCAGCATCTGGCATATTTGCTTCCAAATTCTGGGTAAATTTCAAAATCACTCTGGAACTTTAGGTACAGGCAGCTGGCATGGGGTGGGGATTTTGAGCCAATCCCTGCTCCAAGGCTCATTCCAACATAGACAACCTCTCTAAGAGAACCACGAGGGCACAGGTCCCCAGGAGTTATCAAACCTAATTACCTGTACACCCATGGCCAGATCAGTCACAATGGCCTCAGGAACAGGGGTAGCTACTATTGCCAGGAATGTCATATCCCTACTTGATGGTGGCTCCTATTTTACCCTGGTTGGATTGCTGAGAAAGGCTGGAAGAAAATGAATATGGAAAGCTTGATAATCAACAGCCAGCTTTGTCCCAGAGGTATGTCCCAGAGGTGGATGTATTCCTATGATGTTGGAGCTATTAATACCTTTATGCAGATTGTCCATCTATATACCAAGCCCTTGGCCATCTTTCAAAGTGAAGGTGCTTAACAAAATGTGACAGAATTGTCAGCAATGACAAGCTAATCCTCATGGTCAGCAGGCCTGTTTATAGGTTAGAAATCCACAGGGAGGTCCAATTCCAATAAAAACTGGCCCTTGTATGGAACTTGTGTAAAATAGGCCACTTATGTTGATCCACAGAACTCGATAGTCCCCGAGACCTCATGGTGACAGCCTCCTCGGAAACCTCCATCTCCCTCATCTGGACCAAGGCCAACGGCCCCATTGACCACTACCGAATTACCTTTACCCCGTCCTCCGGGATCGCCTCAGAAGTCACTGTGCCCAAGGACAGAACCTCATACACACTGACAGATCTAGAGCCTGGGGCAGAGTACATCATTTCAATCACTGCTGAGAGGGGTCGGCAGCAAAGCTTCGAATCCACCGTGGATGCCTTCACAGGTACCAGGGTAGCAGACATCCTAGCTGGGCTCAGGGATCAATGGATCTTAGTATGAGAAAGTCATCTAAGTAGCCTACTCTTCCAACGCCCCCATTTTGTTTAGAGAAGGAGGAATGTGGGTAGAGAAAGAAGAGATCGAGGAGAAATTAACAAATACATCAAGACGGAATGGTTGGAAGTAAAGGGGAGAGAGGAGAAAGGCTACCTACGTGCCTGAAAATTTGTATCTGTTTTTCTAAAACCTGGACATAGGGATTGATTCTGTTCATCTTTCCCCATCTGCACTAAATCAGTGGGCATTCAGAGGATCCATGGGATCATGTTAAATTTCTCCCAGGACAAAGATTTTAAATCCTGGGTGAGTATTAGGAAGAAGTATTATGAGGTGTTACCCTGCTGAGGGCATTCATTTTTCAGTATAAGGCTTGGAGAAAGGAGATGGACAGGACTAGAGAGTGAGGGGCTGTAAGCTCTGAGTCAGCAGGTGAAGGTACAGTCGTAATTGATAAGGAAAGCAGATCCCTCCTAATTGATAAAGAAAGCAGATCCCTTCAGTCAGAGGGCTCTCCTAGCCCAGTGGTCCCACCACCTCGTGTGTGTTTCAGAACCATCATCTTCTCTGCTTTGCAGGCTTCCGCCCCATCTCCCATTTGCACTTTTCTCACGTGACCTCCTCCAGCGTAAACATAACCTGGAGTGACCCATCCCCTCCAGCAGACAGACTCATTCTGAACTACAGCCCTCGGGATGAAGAGGAAGAGATGACAGAGATCTCCCTGGAAGCTACCAAGAGGCACACTGTCCTGATGGGTCTGCAGCCAGCCACCGAGTACATCGTGAACCTGGTGGCAGTCCATGGCACAGTGACCTCTGAACCCATTGTGGGCTCCATCACCACAGGTGAGGTGGGAGGGCTCGACAGCAGGTGGTGAAGGGGGTTCCTACAGAGGTCTTTAACAAGTCAATGAAATTTACAAAGAGAAACACCCAAGAAGTAGGGGCCTGCCTCACTTGGCTAGAGAGGGTCTGTGAGCTGTTCTGAAAGAGCCACCTCTTCCAGGGCTGCATAAAATGTATAAGATGGGAAGCTTCCATTGGGAAGGTAGGACAGACTCAATGTCTTGAGGAGGCCAGGGCTTGAATGCATTGGTCCAGAGGTTCTCACACTACCAGCCTGAAGACAGTTAACCTTCAAAAGGAAACTCCATCTCTTGACTGCTCAGTAAGGTCACTCGTACAAATGATGCTTCCTCAAAATTATGTGGGACGAGCACTAGCATGCGGCCATGTAGGAACCTGGTACTCAGAGAGTGGGGTTGGTTTGCATGTTGTTTGGAAAACATAGGCACTGTGAGACTATTGGATCAAATTCATCTCATCATTCTCAAATGTAATCCCAGATATGAGTATGCATGTGGCTGAGGACATGTGTATTTGGGTGGTTTCCTATATAATGACAAGAACCCACTAACTGGACAAGTACATTAAGCACTCAGCTGGTTTCGACCCTGCAGTCCTCCAGTAGTCAAAAAAATGAGGTACCCAGTACAAATGAAATACAGTTTCAGAAAGTGGATTTGTTCTGGACTCGTGCTCTGAAATCCCTCTACAGTCAATAGGCAGTTTTTCCAAACTGAACCATAGGTGGCTGCTAAAAACTAAGAGAAACAGAGTTGGGTTTGTCTAAGAGAAGCTGCTCTAGGGAAAATGACTATGTTACTCCCAGTTCAAAAGAAAACATATGAACTTAAAGGAAAGTTCCAGTTGGCCTTGACACAGCTAACAGTTGCTGCACAGCACAGAGCTTGCCAGTTCGACCTAATGTTGTTAAAATATTCCCCATGAACATGGCTTTAGCCATACCTATGACTTTTCATTTCAAACTTGGGCCTAATCATGGCTTTAAGGATGCCCTAGTACAAAGGGCTTGTCTGTCCCTGCGACACTATTAGCTCTTGGTCCACAAGAAACCAAGGATAAGAATTGCTTTCTCACACTGTGCTTTTCTGTCTTTTTCCCACAAACACACGGGTCCTTGTAGGAATTGATCCCCCCAAAGACATCACAGTTAGCAATGTGACCAAGGACTCAGTTATGGTCTCCTGGAGCCCTCCTGTTGCATCATTTGATTACTACCGAGTATCGTATCGGCCAACACAAGGTAATAAAGTCACTTGATTTCTCACAAATGGATGGGATTTGGTGCTGAGTGACAACTGCTCTGGGAGAAATACATATCCCAGAGGATATCACCCCTGCCCGCATTCTCCCCCTCTCTGTAGCGCGCTCCTTCACAATGAGAGTGGGTTAAGGAGGAGTAGGCAAGAAACCCTGAACTCACCAACTCCTCTCACACACGGCTGGACTATATTCACCCAGAAACCAGGCCCTCAACCAGCAGAGCAAATCATGGTAACTGGTCACCATTATCTAGGCAGTCTAGTGAGAAACAACCCCCCAAAAAAATCTGCCAAGATCCAGGGTCATGTGCACTTTCCCGAGAGACTAGTCCAAGACTAGAAGCCTGGGGGATTCCTAAAGACTCGGCTGAGCCAGATGGAGCCTTAGAGGGAGCCACAGTGATGGTGGTCCTCTTTCTACCACTCCAGCCAAGTCGGGAGTCAGAAAAAGTTGGCACAGACCTTTACCCTGCCAGTTCCTGCTGTGCATGGCACATTGTTAACAAAGTAGAGGGCATGCCCACTTCCAAGGAGGCGGTGGGAGAGTTTTCCAGACTACCCTGTCTCCGGGCTGCATAGACCCCTCTTCACAGTCCATGCCCGTTAGACTGCCTTAAGAAGACCAGCTTGTTAGAAAACTAAATGAACCACTTTGTTGTTGTTGTTGTTGTTGTTGTTGTTGTTCCAAGGAACCTATAAAATTAGGAGGTGGGACCAGCATACAAGCTCTCCTCAAGCTCCAATATTCCCAGTCCATGAACCACTTCTCTTCTTTCCCCACCAAGCGCTGAGCTTTGCACCTGTCTGTGCTTCATGACAAAGTGCTGCCAGAAGCTTCTATGTAGATAGACTATACCATGAGCTGTGTTGAAGCATCTGCTGAACTTTAACAGTGGCTTCTGCTCTTCCTTAGTGGGACGGCTGGACAGCTCAGTGGTGCCCAACACGGTGACAGAATTCACCATCACCAAGTTGTATCCAGCCACTGAATATGAAATAAGTCTCAACAGTGTGCGGGGCAGAGAGGAGAGTGAGCGCGTCTGCACCCTCATTCACACAGGTAGGCATGTCTCCCTGTCATGAGCCAAGTCAGGATGCTGGCTGAGGACCCACAACAGACAGAAGAGGCAAACAGTAGAGTTGTTCTGGCTAATAAATACAGAGGGCACTGGTCCTGGGTTCAGAGGCTCCATTCTTGGGTGTCCCTCTGACTCACTGTGTTATGCAAAGCAATTTGCAATTTCTCTCCCCCCTGATATTCCTAATACTGGAAGTTTAGACCTTATTGATTTGGGTCAGATATTTTCATGGAATTTCCAGTAAGAAAGGTGACCTTTTAAAGACACACGATGAAAGTGAATTCCAGAACAGACATCTGAATCATCACATCTAATTAAAAGAAATTTTTTTTTAATGTTTACTTATTTTTGAGAGAGAGAGAGAGTGAAAGGAGGGGGGAGGGCCAGAGAGAGACACACACACAGAATCTGAAGCAGGCTCCAGGCTCTGAGCTGTCAGCACAGAGCCCGATGCGGGGCTCAAATTCATGAACAGTGAGATCAGACCTGAGCCGAAGTCAGACGCCCAACTGACTGAGCTCCCCCAGGCGTCCCTCAAATTTAATTTTTTAAAAGACTCAGTCAAGTAAATTTTACCTCAGAGAAGGAAAAGTTGATTATATCAGTAATAACCCATAGGGTCCTGAAAGTCTTCATCCTCTGTGGCCAGAACCCACCAAGTGGCTGCATTTGCTATTGCTTTGTGCTCAAAAGGTGGTGGCCTTCCTTTGGAAAGTGAGCCCTTTGGATGCACCTGAGAACAGGGCTCCCGCAACAGCTCCGCTGCTCCTCCTTCTCAGTCAGCCCACCATGCAGAAGTAGGAAAGATTTGCTGTAGAAGTCACCAGAGGGGACAAAGCTTTCTGTCCCCAGACCCCAGATCTAACCTTCCAGTGAAGCTATTATTCCCACAGCACATGGGAAAACATCCAACCTGCCTCGTTAGAACAGCCGGCTTTCCTGAGGCTGCTTAATTTCCTCAGAGAATGGCATTTCCTGAACGAGGGAAAGGTAACTTGGAATTCCTCACTGCTTTTGTAGATACTCTCACAGGCCCAGAAACATCTGTAAAGTAATGGCCTAGAAACGTTCCTTCAGAATGTTCAGAACCTCAAGAAATTATTCTTCTAAAAGACACCACAGGGTATTCTCATCTTCCCTAGTCTCCTCACAGGCCTGTGACTACAGATAACCCAGCAATATTTTTGGTCCAATATTTCCTTTCCATCAAATTATCTGTGACCATTAAAGCATCAAGAAATATTGACCCAAAGTGATGCCCAATGAGTCAAAAGAAGCCCCCCTCTCACCTTCCTGAAAGCCTTAGAAATTCATAGGAAAGAAATTAGGCTCTTTCTCTTTGAGAACAAGAAAATGAATTTCAAGAGCCTCCTACCCCCTAGGGTAAAAGAAAGCAGCAACTTGGGTCAAAACACCTCATCTTGGGTTTGTGGTTATAAGCAGCAAGTATCTGTAAAGCAGATATTCAGTATCGCACCAACCCAAACCACCCTCCTTTAGGTTCAAGCAGAGCTATTGGGAACTCCCGACAACCAGATGACCCACAAAAATGTCTTATCTTGTTTTAATGTAAGGTCTATGATTTTGCAATTGGGAGAAATGAGTACTCCTTTAGGATCTCACGCTTAATCTCAGAGGGATCAAGCTAACTGTAGTCTCCCAAGACTTTTCCTCTTTGTCTCTTCTCATAAGGTTGCATTGGAAGAACTTGCTGAAGACACAGATGATGGATGCAGTTGAGATATTAAAACTGAACAAAAGTTCACAGTTGTTGCTTTCAAATGAGGAATACGGGCAAGCTATAGAAACCTGCAGTTAGGGGTCAACAGCACATCTTGGTCCCCAGAAGTAAATTACATGATACTTGGGTTGAGTTGATACTTAAACTATTCTACTAACCTCCATTTCTTTTTTTTTTTTTTTAATTTTTTTTTTCAACGTTTATTTATTTTTGGGACAGAGAGAGACACAGATGAACGGGGGAGGGGCAGAGAGAGAGGGAGACACAGAATCGGAAACAGGCTGCAGGCTCTGAGCCATCAGCCCAAAGCCCGACGCGGGGCTCGAACCCACGGACTGCGAGATCGTGACCTGGCTGAAGTCGGACGCTTAACCGACTGCGCCACCCAGGCGCCCCAAACCTCCATTTCTAAAATAAATCCCAACCTTATGGAAGGGAAGCATAGTAAGAAACATATGCATAGAACATGGGCAAATAAGAATAGGCACACGGTCCCATGATGAGCAAACTCTGTTCCCCCCAACAGGCACCACTGGCCTTTAGCCTGGAAGAATCCCCTTGACTCTATGCCACAAAAAGGATACCCAGAACTCAATACAGAGGAAGTCTGTGGTAAAGCAATCATCATATGTGGCTTTAGAGGCAACCTGAGTCCCATTCAGTCATTCCACGAGCATTTATTGTGTACCTTGTAAGTTCCAGGCACTGAGGCTACTCCTTGACTTCATGGAACTCCCACCATACTTTCCAAAGTTCATCAACAGAGATCGTTCCACAAAGCATGCCCCTTGTATTTGTGGAAGTGCAAATAGCCTGGGAAACAAATTGTCTCATTAACTAAAGGAATATAACAATTCCTATATGTTCTGAGTTTCTCCCTCTACATTTAAATGTCTAAAGCACAACAGCCATACCTCAGAATCCCCCATAGCACCTGACAGTGCTCCATATGTAAGAAGTTAATGAATACATTAAAAGGAAGACCCGAGACCAATCAGGGCAAAACTGGGTACTTGGGAGGAAGGACGAAGGGGAGAAGAGGAGGAGATCAGAAGGGGAGAAAGGAAAGAGGTCTCCACTCACTTCATCATTTTGTATGGCACAGCCGCAGACGTGCATGATGGGTGAAGCTGCAGGAGATAGTTCGCTGCAGTGCCTCCTACGTTCACCTGATATTCTCCGGTTCCATTTCAGCCATGGACAACCCTGTGGATCTGATCGCCACCAACATCACTCCAACAGAAGCCCTACTGCAGTGGAAGGCACCAGTGGGTGAAGTGGAGAACTATGTCATTGTTCTCACACACTTTGCAGGTGAATGTCTACAGGCCTGTGCATCAGGCAGGTGGGAAGGGTGGGGACTGGGGCTGAAGGCTAGTATGACAGTTTTTGTTTTTTAAAGGACATTTTATCAAGCTGAGGAACATATTAGAAGTTTTCCTGCTTTACTTTTACTCTCAAGCTTTCAAGATGTCCCCAAACTCTGCAAACAGTACCAACTATGGGAATGCAGAAGGGCCAAATCTGTAATGTACATGGAGGGCACATAAACAAAGGCAAATACAAAAAACAGAGCAATAGCACTTGGAAGACAAAGCTCAGAACTGAGCTAAGACATGGCCCCAAATGCTATGGGCTGGAACGCAGACTTTTCTAGATATTTACAGAGCGAGAAAACCACTAAAGCACCATGCACGGAGCAGATAATACGTGGAAACAGGTGACAAAGGATCCAGGCCTAGCAAACTCCTGTTGCTTTAGTCTTGTCTACCCATATCCAACCCAAAAGGTTGATCCAGCATGAAATCTTGAGTTTCAATGTCTTCTTACCATGCTTGTTCACCTTACATTATTTGAAGTTGAATAGAGAAGCCCAAAGCAAAATAGTGTTGAGTGATTCAAATGTCTAGGCCTAGGAAAATTACCTGCCTGGCCAAATTATACATGTGATCACAAGAATTCTTGTGGGTTATACCCAGAATCCAGAGAACAAAGATACCAGAAGACAAAAGATAAGCAGATGTCTTGATTTTCAAAAATGACAGAGGAAGCCAGTTTTTGTAAGCTGCAAAGTAAACAGATGGTCAAAGCTTGGGAAAATAAAAACCAAAACAGACTATTAAATAAATTGGGAAAAGAATTAGTGGATATAGCATACAAGTACAGGTTCACTAAAAGTTTTACCAGAACCACTTTAGGTCCCTTTTTTTTTTTTTTTTTTTAACTGGCCAATCTGCTAACACACTTGGATTTCAGTAAGGTATTAGAAAAACCCACTTATCAATTTGACAATAAATTTCATATATTTAAAATAAAATATGGTTAAGAGTGAAAAAAAAAGAACTCTGTTAAATGTTTAAAAAATAATTACATTAAAAATATACATTAATTTAAGGAAAAAAAAAAGAAAGAAAAACCCACTTATCACTTAGATGGAAAAATACGTGATGGATCATATTTGGAGTTAGAACTGTAGCTGATTGGATGACCCTCCTCAAGGAACGAATATCATGACTATATCTCCACCAGAACCCCACTATGTGCGTGTGCGATCCGTGTCAACTCCTGCCACCCCTCCCTGCATGCCATGGGCCTGCGTTTCTTAACTCTCACCATGCCTTCCCAAACTACCATGCATTTATTTGCATGTGTCATTTCCTCTACCAAGAAATTCCCTCCCTACTTGTCTGCTTAGACACACACATTCTTTAAGTCAGTTTCAACACTATCTCCTCTGCCAAAGCTTCCAATATTCCCCCAAGGTAGATAGACCCATCCACTCACAGATACAAAGTACATGATTCCAGGGGCGCCTGGGTGGCTCAGTCTGATAAGTGTCCAACTTCGGCTCAGGTCATAATCTCGCGGTTCAGCTCTGCTGACAGCTCGGAGCCTGGAGCCTGTTTCAGATTCTGTGTCTCCCTCTCTCTGCCCCTCCCTGCTCACAGTCTGTCTCTCTCTCTCTCAAAAATAAACAGACACTAAAAAAAATAAAAACAAAGTACATGCTTCCCTCATACCAATTAACCTCTGTTCGTGCAACAAATACCTTTGATGTCCTCCCACGAGCCACGCACTCACCAAGGCTGCAAGGATTCAGAGACAGAGCATGAGTTCTCTTCGCAGACCTCACTCTGGTGAGGAAGAAACCAATACCTGGGTACAACCCAATGTGAGCACTGTCATGACACAGGCAATCACAAAACAGATGGATCACTGATTGGGAGTGAGGGTGTTGAAGGGGAAAAAAACAAGCTGATCTCAGGTAAAGTTAGAATAGGATTGTATAGGAAAAGGAATTCCGAGAAAAGAGAGCAGCCTGAGTGCATTTGTAGAGATATGAGAGAACATGAGGACTTCTGAGAACTGCCATGGTTTGAGGTGGCTGGAACAGCGACCGCTGGCAGCATGTTGCAAATGAGGAAACTAAAAAGGTAGAGTCATTATGTATGTTCTTCCAAAGAGCTGGTGTGGATTTTAACTTGTTTGCATGCCTTCTACACCTTTAGACCACAAGGAACTTGAAACCCCCACCTAGTTTGGAGAATTGCTTTGTAAACTTTCTTAAATGCTGAGTGACCTGGGAGTATTCTAAAGACACAAGAAAGGGCTTGGCCCTGCTCTAGTGAATAGTTGTTTTTATTTTTGTTTTTAACATTTATTTATTTTTTGAGAGACAGACAGAGCGTGAGTGGGGAGGGGCAGAGAGACAGAGGGAATCCGAAGCAGGCTCCAGGCTCTGAGCTGTCAGCACAGAACACAACGTGGGGCTCAAACCCACTAACTGTGAGATCATGACCTGAGCCAAAGTCAGACACTTAACCAACTGAGCTACCCAGGTGCCCCTCTAGTGAAGTTTTATTGACAGCATGAATGAATACAGAGAAGACACGCTTATCACATTTGTATATAAAACAAATCTGGGTAGTCACTGATACTGTGATACGGTGACCGAGAGTAGCTATGCTTGTGCTGAGCATAGCATTAATGTATGCAGAAGTTGAATCACTACGTTGCATACTTGAAAATAATGCACCATTGTGTGTCAACTGTGCTCAGATATTTTAACTGTGATCAATAGAATCCAAATTCAAATATAGCTCAATAAACTGAAACAGTGGACCAAAACTCAATTGACAAGGCAAAATACGGTAGAAATAAATGTGGAGCTCTGTCCATGGGTGCAAGAAATCAACAGATTTGGAGCTGCCACATACATGTAATGGTGGTTGGGGATAAATTTTCTCAGCCTAGAAGAGAGGGCTTGATTCGAAGCTGTGGTGGGGGGGAAGGAGCCACGGAGACAGAGGCTTCAGCTTTTCTTTGTGACCGCAGCGGCTTGAGTGAAGTCATGGAAAAGACAATTTGGCTTCCAAATAAGGAATATGTTTCTCAATCGAGATACAAAACATGATGAGAGGAGATGCTTGTGTGGAATCCAATGCTAAGCTGAATAGCCTTTAAAAGATGTCTTCCACAATCCTTCAATATTGAATCTTTATGAATGTCTTTGGATTTGATAAGCTTTTCCCAGGTGGAATCGCTTTAGTCAGCTCTTACCCGTGTTCATATGATTTCAGTTGCTGGAGAGACCATCCTGGTTGACGGAGGCAGTGAGGGATTCCAGCTCGTTGGCCTGCTTCCCAGCACCCACTATACTGTCACTATGTATGCCACCAGTGGACCTCTCACCAGTGGTACCATCAGCACCAACTTCTCTACCCGTGAGTACATGGTTGACTACATATCCAGCATCCCTAGATGCTTTTGCAGATCCTGAAAATTATCCGTCCCCATGTGGTGGACTAAATTAGAGTCTAGAGGCTTTGGACAGCGCAGCTATGAGCTGTTTGTATCTCAGTTGACTGCTGCCCAAATGCCAGTGAGCTGCAGCTCTCGGGCAGCAGGCACATGTCTATTTTCTGCTTTCATCCTGGGTCTGGCTGACAGCAGTAGAACCAGGCCAGGAGAGGCCAGTATTGGAAATGGATCTGGCCCAGAAAAAACTGGATGCATATGAAAGGGCTTGATATCTGGGAGACACTGGCTGGGTGCAATCGTGGCCAGAACAGGAGACAAAGGTATAGTTGTGGGGATGATGATGCAAGTTCAAAAGTGAACTCACAGACATGCAGATTTATTTAGGTCATGATTTCAGACATAGGTCAGACTGGAAGATGACACACCTGGGCCCAGAGGGCCAGGTTAGAGGGGGAAATAGGTGCAGGAATGATCATGACACTGGCTGATCATCTTCTGCTCTTGTCCAAGCTAGAACTGGGGTCAGCATGTAAGCAGCCCAGAGACCACGTAGGTGGGCAGATAAATACCTGATACCTGGAATCAAACGGAAAGGAGCTGGAGAGGAAGGTACTCCTGGTATTTTCTCTTCTTTATAGTCCTGGACCCTCCTGCAAACCTGACGGCCAGTGAAGTCACCAGACAAAGTGCCCTGATCTCCTGGCAGCCTCCCAGAGCAGAGATTGAAAACTACATCTTAACCTACAAATCCACTGATGGAAGCCGCAAGGTGAGATTTTTCTGTAAGGGAGATTTTTCTATCAGGCCATCCAAAGGGAGCAAACTGGGTTTCCCGTGATGGATACAGACATGCTGTTGAGGGAAAAGCCTGAGTCTGTAAGCCAGAGATTTTGGTGCTAGTCCTGGCTTCTCTACTACTCTCTTTACAAGTTGAGACAAAACACGAAGCCTCTCTGAGCCTTAGTTTCCGCTCCGGATAATGGGGGTGTCTACCTTTAAAACTTCACTTGGTTTTGGGTGGTGCTTCCAATATGATGATGCAAAGCACAGTGGAAACTTCCAAGCCCTATAAGTACATCGTTTTGGAAAAAAATTTCACTAGCAGGGCCAAGCAAACATGAGCTGGATACCAAATTCGATAGTCTTTTATGCCTCTTGATAAGCATTATAAAGGCTACATCTATAGCCTGCAGTAAAGAGATGACACATTTCTGTGTTGTGTGATCAGTTGAAATGGTACTTCTAGAGCACCGGTTGTCAGACTTCTGTTTGCAATGAAATCCTTTTTTTTTTTTTAAAGTGAAATCATATTCAGGAGCAGAATGTACAAAATGGATGTAAGCAGAGCTAGTCTGTTGGATATGGAATAGGGAGGCCTAGGCTTCTGCCTCCCTGGGTCCCGAGGAATCTAATACAGTTGGAAACCACTGGATTTGATAATCCACATGCCTACCTTTATGCCAATGTGCATCTATGTGGTAGGAGCGGTCTCAATCTCACACAGGAGCTGTCCTCTCTGCCTGTTGGCTCGATGCAGTCTTTGTTGGGGAACGGAGAGCACACAGTGGCCGTGGCGATACCGACCGATCTGGCCGTGGGCTTGGGCTTCCCTTCCCAGCTCCTCTCAATCATGTGCCTGTCACTCCCATCCACCTGCCTTCCTCGCTTGTTCCACAGGAGCTGATTGTGGACGCAGAGGACACGTGGATCCGACTGGAGGGCCTTTCTGAGAGCACAGACTACACGGTGCTCCTGCAGGCGGCCCAGGACACTGCCCGGAGCAGCCTCACCTCCACCACCTTCATCACAGGTGAGACACATGGCCTGGTGATGCTTTCTTCTTCCCTGCAGGACGTCTGGCTCCTCAGCAACTTCTGCTGAGACGTGATCAGGGAGGAACCTATCAACGGACTCAACTGCCTCTTCCTGTGAAGGAAAATAATGATTTTCTCCACTCCCCCTTTTCCCCCCTTCCAAGACTCTGCCAGGAAACTTCTCACTACCAGGGCAACCATAGGAACCAGCAGTGCAAATCCCTGGTCCACCTGGACCCACTAAATGACAGGTTCCTGTTCAGATTTTCTGCAAGTGTTTTCCCAGCAAATTTCTTCCATCCTTCCTTCCTTCCTGCCTTCCTTCCTTTCCTTCCTTCCTCCCTCCCTCCCTCCCTCTCTTCCTTCCTCCCTCTCTTCCTCCCTTCCTCCCTTCCTCCCTTCCTTCCTTCCTTCCTTCCTTCCTTCCTTCCTTCCTTCCTTCCTTCCTTCCTCTGCTGCCTGTAATCAGAGAATCACGTAATAAAGGTATGGATAGTAAACCCTTTGCATTAAATCCAGGGTTCTTCTCCATACACGAAGCACTTTTGCATTCCTATGACCTCAATTCAGTCCTTGTAACAACTGGTGAGAAGGGCCTTAGGTGTACCCCCATTTCACAGATGATGAAACAGAGTGCACAGAAATCAAATAGCATAAGTGCCTGGGTCAAACTAGAACCAAGGTCTTCTGCTTCCAAATCCAGTTGCTCCTGCCTTCCTCCATTTAAGTGTCAGCAGCATATACCTGAAACTGTCCTTCAGGAATAAGGGTGTCCTCATGTGTATAACAGGAAATAAACCAACACTGAACCTTTGAGAGCTATCTGACAGGCACTGTTCTGACTACATTACATGTATTATCTAATTCAAGCCTATGAAATCACATCCTATGAGGTATATTCCATTATCCCTATTTCCAGTTGAAGAAATTGGGCCACACAGAGGTGAGGCAACTCACCTAAGACCCCATAACTTGTAAGTAGGAGAGCCTGGATTTGACCCCAGTTGACCTGGCTGTGGGGACTGTGCTATTAACAGTCCTTTCTGCCTTTTCCCACAGTACCTCTCTATAGTCCGTAATGTAGGACTTTCCAGTCCACACTTTGAGCTGTCTTCCTGCCCCACGTTCTGGAGGTGTGGCTGTGCACATGTGTGGGCCAAGCGAGAGTACCCCTTGTCCCTAGATGTATGTCTGCCTGCCATGTCAGAGTACCAGGATGGCTGGAATCCTGGCCCTGCCTCAGAGCCTGTCCCTTCATCACCAGAGGGAGGTGACAGAATATGCCCCATCCCTACTCAGGTGGCTCTCCCTGTAGACTCACCCTAAATGGTAAAGCAGGACACTGAATCAAATACACCAAAATGTCACTAATGGTTCTTTAAGGTAGTGAGATTGTGAATGAGTTCTCCTTTCCCTTCTTTTTAATATTTTGAATATCTTACAAAGTGTCTACAATGAGCACATTCATCAGAAAAATGATTTTTTAATTAAAAATAAAAATAAGCCAAGGGCGCCTGGGTGGCTCAGTTGGTTGAATGCCCAACTCTTGATTTTGGCTCAGGTCATGATCTCACAGTTCGTGAGATCAAGCCCCACATCGGGCTCTGTGCTGACAACATGGGGCCTGCTTGGGATTCTCTCTCTTCCTCTCTCTCTCTGCCCCTCCCCCACTCATACACACACACACACACACACACACACACACACACACACACACACACTGTCTCTCTCTCTGTGTCTCAAAATAAATAAATAAACTTTAAACAATCTTAAAAGTAAATAAAAATAAATGTAAGCCTTGGTCACAGGGCTTTCCACAAGTCGAAACGCGTCTTCACGAAGCAGAACTTGGAGGACACTTGATCCCTTTAAGGGGCTCAAGTCAATTTTGCGCCCCTTCCATGCCCTTTCACGAAGGGACTTATCTCAGCATCAAGGTGCTACTTTCTCTTGTTCCATCCCTTTGCTGTGTATTCACAGGTGTAAGGGTCCTCTGTGGTCCTCTTTTTCAAGCTGCCACCCAAAGACCCGTGGATCGGAGCTTTTCCCTGAATTAAGAATTTTTTTCCCACAAAAAGGACACAGATGACAGAAAAAAACCAGAGCTCCCAATGTGCATATTTATTAAGTCCAAAGTAATCATTTCATCCCCGAAATGCCTAGGTTTCAAAGATCGCTCAGTGTAGTATGGGCCACAGCTCCCTCCCTCGTAATGCCACAGCTGGTGTGTGTGAGCAGGATGATAAGACACTGAGTCTACGGCCATACCACACGGAACGTGCCTCATCTCGCCTGGCACACCTGAGGTTTCTCCAGCATCTTGTGGCTGTGCCTTGCTCCAGATCCACCCGGGCAATAAAAGTGTACCAGCTTCTGTGCCCACCACTGGCCCTCCCTTATGCGAAGCCACCCCACAGATGTATAATAGTTTGGGTCTGGGATCCCAAATCCCGCGGGAGGCTCAGCCAGATCTAATAAGCAGAGGGCTAACAATTCATGGAAATCCAGAGAGGGGGCAAGGGTAGTGGCTTTGTTTAGTGAACAATGCAGAGGGGCCATCAGGGGGGATTTAGGTGTTTGTTTCTTTGTTTTCATGAAACTCCAGCTGACACTGGGCTTCCTGGGGCATGACCAATACCAACTCAAAAAGGGGGAAACTGTTAAGAGCCCACGATCCTGTATAATGAGCGTAGCTACTGACTGAGCCGCCCCATGGACAGTTTGGGGTTGACCAGAGAAGGACTTGCCACTACTCCCGTGGTACAAGGCAAAGATATATCCATGTTTGGAAGTCTTTGCAGAGCTTTGCTGTGAAGCTCAAATTTAAATTTAAACCACTGATGCGTACCACACCCTGCTGGCTTTGTCTTGGAGATTTATCAGAACCCACTGAAATGACCAGTTGCAGAATGAAAAGTGTGTGGATGGAAGTAATGCATATGGAACTACCTTGCACAAAGCCTGACACACGGCAGACATAATAAATGTGGGTTGAATGGAATAGTTAAATCCCAGCTGCAGAGCATGGAAGAGGGGTTTCTGGTGAAACAAAGCTGTAGAAGGAGATTTTGAATATCCATCACAGGGACGGGACTGGCAGAGAGAGAGGTACTGCCTGCACAGTGTGATGCCCCAAGTCCCTCCAATTTCAGGTTCTTTCTGCCACCAGAAATGCAAATTTCCCTGAAGAGATTGTACTAAACCTGCATAGTTATTTGCACGTCAACATTAGTGAGTCTTCTCTGCTTGAGCCATGCC